CTCACTCCTCCCCTCCCCCTCTCCGCCCAAGCTAAGAATAAAAGGTTCAAAAACTGGCGGCTCTGCGCCGTGCGTGCGGCGTGCGGCGTGCGGCCGGTGGAGGTCGGGCTGGCTCTGAGCTCTGAGCTCTGGCTGCTCGCACAACTCTCCTTAGAGCTGATTTGCCGGCAGTAAAACGTGTTTTAGTGGCTGAGGTTTAAAAGTACGCCGACCGCGCACGGCGTCCTGCTTGTTGTTGTCGACCTCTACCTCTGATCGGGTCGGCACCCCCTTCTGACGTTCTCTTCCTCACTGTCTCCAGGATGACGACCGGTCGCGGGGAGGACCCGCGCACATCGACCTGGAGAGGCTCTTCACTCCTGCCACCGACAGCGGAGAGTCGACGCCGGCGCGGAAAAGTACGTGGGCGATAACATTCTGCGCGTCGGACTTGATACAGTCTTCTGGGAAAAATATTTTCACATTTGTGGCAGATTTGCTTTGCATGCCGCGAGTCGTTTTTAATATGGCAGTATGGCATCATAGCATCACTTTGTAATGAAATAAATTTTGTCGAATTTTGTTTAACCGAAGAATAGAACTGGTGGAAGGGAACGAACAAACAAACCGCAGTTGATGAACAACACTGACTGACAGTTTTTCTGTACTCCTAGGCCGCATGTATGCCTCGTCGAGCTTCTACGGCCCGGAGCACCCTACCGTGGAGGAGCAGGTGGAGCTGGCGAGACGCATCTCCACCTCGCTGTCGGACATCTCCAACCAGCGCTCCAAGGGGCAGACCATGTACGTCAACCGGAAGAAGCGCTCGGCCGGCTGGGTGCACGCAGGTGGGTGTCTTGACGTCGAGGACAGGAAGTAAGTCGTTTTGGTAGGTGTGGTCGCGGCCCCCGCTATCCCGCGTCAACGTTTTGCTCGCAGCTACGCACGGCCGTGTCGTGCTGCGGCTCGCACAGGCACCCCGGGTATGTAGGTATGTCGGCCATGGTGAAGGGGCGGGCGCGAACATACCCTCCCCGCAAGCCGGGGGCTTCCCCACCCTTACACACACGAGGGTTTGATTATTTATTTTGCGATTTCATTGACTTTTAACTTCTAAGCGTTTATAGGAAACCAAGCCCGGGCTAAGGCATATGGTATTCGACCAGAAAGGTTCAAAGCTGCCTCCGAAATAGGGAAGGGAACACTCCCCCACTCTTTTTCCTACTATATACTTCGGGCTTCGGTAACTTCATTAACATTAGAAGAAAGGGGACGTTTGACCTTTGTGCCATCCCATCCCCTGTCTCTCCTTTTCCTCCCGCCTCTTCGGTGCACCTTTCCTCTCAAATGTCATGTGATGGGCCGTTCGATAGGGCAGGGGGAGAGGGAAGGGGGAGGGAACGAGAGGCTCGAAGGGTGCCCGAGTGGTGCGAGCGAGAGAGACGGAGAGGCATAGAAGACACTCGCCCTCGGCGTGCCGAGCGGGTCGAGCGCTGCGGTCCGGTGCAGTCTGAGGACGTCCCCGTCGCCGCGTCGCTCGCCGTCGCGTACCTCGCTCGCCGTCGCGTACCTCGCTCGGTGTCGCTGCTCCGCCGCGCCGCTGGTCCTGCCCGTGTCGTGTTTATACGCCCTGGAGCTGGAGAGCGCTTGACCTGGAACGCGCCTGGAGTCCAGCGCGGGCCGCACCTGCCTTTACCTGCCACGCAACTTTAAACCCCGCTGTCTCTTTGCGCAGCGACCGATGAGGGCTTCAGCGCCCCGACCACCCCCGTCCCAGATGCGGCGCCCTCGGGACAGGTGAGTGCCACCGTTGTATCCCAGTGAAACCGAGCGAAACTGGCCCCGCAGTGACGTTATCTGTCCTCCAGCAGAGGGACAAGCCCGTCCTCAAGCTGGTGATGGACCCTCGTGGCCAGGTCCAGGACCTGTGGAGTTTGCAGAAGCAAGGCGTGGACCCACCGTGCGGAGCGCTCAGCCCGGAAGTCTGCTTCCACCTCGTGCGGGACCTCAACGCGCCCAAGGGCAAGGGTGAGTAGGCGTCCTGCTTTGGTCACGACTCCGGTGCGCTTAGGACTTGCTGTTCACGGCTATGTGTTTCGCCGCAGGCGCTGAACTCTTTGCGAAGCGGCGTAAGAAGTCTGAGAAGTGGGTCGTGGACGAGACAACGGTGAGGTCCTCCTCCACCACGTCCACGATGGAGTCCTCTACCTCGCCCGCCCCCAAGCTGCCTGTACCGGCAGCATCCTACCTCACGAATGGCACCGCCAAGGTGCACACCGTGCAGCGCATGAACGAGATCCAGGTGCGGACTGCTGCGAACTCGTGACTAACCCTGAAACGTTTATCCGCCGCCACGCTTAACCTCTGTAACGCTTTCGCTTTTCGATTCACGCCCCGCTTCTAATTCGCAGCTCAAATTCCAGGAGAAGTTCTCGCAGCCCCGCGTCAAGCTGGTGAAGAGCCCGTGGGAGGCGGCCCTGGAGACGGGCTCCGTGGACACTGCCTTCCAGGACGCCAAGCTCCCCCCGCTGAGCATACCCTCCTCCGCCCCCATGCCCCCGCCCAGAACTCCTGCAGTGGTGAGTACTATGGTGCGGGTCGCCCTTTCCTCGGCATCCCCGCCGGGCAAGACTCCTCAACGTGTTCGCGTTCGCAGGGCACGCCCACCTGGACAGCCACCACCACGGCGGCCACCGTCCGACCCCTGTCCACTGGGGACGCCTCCCTGTACGCGGGCCGGGCGCCGCGTGGCTGGGGACAGTACAACGCGTCGCACCAGTACGGTGAGTGCGATAGCCGATGCTATGTGATGTGTCAACTTGAATCTTAGTCAGGTGGTCTCCTTAACCGACACTACGTGTGTGTCGGGGTGCTCGCCCAGAACATCTAGACCTCCACCGCCAGTGTCGTACGACAAATAGCACGAACTTAGCAGAACTAGTTCTAACATTTTAAAAAAGTATCGAAATGTTTACGCATAAATGAAGTAGCCTTACAGGCAACACGGCGCCGCTATGCATACTCTCACGCTTCATGATTATTGACGCTAACATAGATGTACATAATACCAGCTGTTTGATTCTAATCCACGCTTGGCAACCTGCACCGCGGCATAAATGCACCTCACTCACGCACCGCACCCCGCACACGCCGCTGAGGCTCGCGCTGAGTTCACGTCTCACGCACCCGCCTTGGAACGCACAGGCACGGTGTCCTTCAACGCCTCGTCCGGGACGACCAGCACCACCACCACCACGAGCAGCTCGACCCCGGCCGCCCCGATCGTGTCCTCCAGGGAGGAACACAACGGACTCACCAACGGGCTGACCAGCTCGGCTATCCACGAGGCCGTCGAAGTGGATGACGACGAGGATGACGTGATGGTGCGGCAGGTGGAGAAGGTCGTGGAGAGCGCCAAGCAGATCGTCCGGGAGACGATAGAGCGCGCCGTCCTCGTGCAACAGGCCAATCACGAGGAGGAGGAAGACGAGGAGGTGCAGAGGCACCTCCGCGCCGTCGAGGCCGAGCGGGCCGTCGAGGAGCGGCCCCAAGAGAAGGTGGTGCGATTCCAGACGCCCGAGGAGGTGAAACAGCAAGTGACCCCGGTGGCCGCCGAACAAGCGGCCGAGGAACGGCCGAAAGAGGTCCAACAAAAAGAAAAGCCCGCTCAACTGCCGGCGCCCGAGGAAGCGCCAGAAGCGCGACCCGCGGAGCAGGAGCCTCGCCGTCGGCATAAGCCGGCCTGTGAGGTGGTGGGCGCGCGGCCGCTGTACGGCATCGTGGACCCCTCGCAAGTGAAGCTGCGGCCCGTGCACGCGCACCAGTCCAGCCAGCAGCAGGACAGGTCGCCCACCAGCCCCATCCCCGCAGCCAGGCCACCCCCGCGGCTGGGGGGCAGCCCCGCGGCGCAGCCACAACCGCGCTCCCCCGTCCAGCCGGCCGTCCAGCCCGCCTTCCAGCCTTCTGCTCAGTCAGCCTTCCAGTCGACTGCTCAGCCCGCTATTCAACCGACTGGCCAGCCCTCTGCTCAGCCCGCTGTACAGCCCACTGCACAGCCCTCTCCTCAGCCCTCGGCCCAGCCCTCTCCTCAGTCAGCCTCCCCTGCCGTCCAGCCTGCGGCTCAGTCGAAGCCGCCCAGCCCGGAAGCTGCGTCGGAGACAGTGGCCGAAGAGGAGGAGCCTGCACCCCGCCCCACGCCGAAGCCGCCGAGCCAGGTGGTGGGCGCCACGCCCCTGTACGGCAACATTGACCCCAGCTCCGTGCACCTGCGCCCCGTGCACCGGGAGCTGCGCTTCGGTGACTCCCTGTCGAGGGAGACTTCCCTGGAGGAGGAACCCGAGGACTTCCCTCCACCGAGGTCGCCGCTGCCCTCCGCCGCACCCAACCCACTGGGCGCGGCCGTGACCGTGCCCGTCAAGCACCTTATCGATAGCTTCGAGAACGGCGGGCAGGGCGTGCAGTACGTGGCCAACACGGCCGTGCAGACGCGGCTCTTCACGTCCATGCTGCCTGCGCGCCCGCCCTCGGCCACCCTGGAGCCCGCGGCCTTTGTCGACCACCTGCCGCCGGCCCCGCAGCTGGAGCCGCAGCTGGAGATGGGCCCGCCACCCGAGTTCGTCCTGGAGGACACGGAGGCGCAGCGCGCCAAGGAGCAGCTGGAGGACCAGATCCGCCGCGACTACCCCTTCGCTCTGTCCCCGTCGCCCGCGCCGCCCGAACCGCCGACCACGCTGCGCCTCACCCTGGACAAGTTCCAGCCCATGCCCAAGCCCTGGAACCCCGAGCTCTTCCAGCAGCCAGAGCCGCCGGCCAGAACCCCTACCGACCTCAACACGCCCCTGAGTAAGGCCAAGCGCCCCGGCGCCCCCCACCCCCTTAGCACGGCGTGCTCCCCCTCCCCTCGCCCTCCCACGGGAACAACCGCCAGCAACCTCTGAGCCCGGTTGCCGATTCCAACACGACGTCCAGGACCGCTCCTGAGCCCCGTTGCACCTCCACTCTCGCGCCTTGACGCGGCTTTGTCTAACACGCTTTCGCTTATCGGCTCCCGCAGTTTCCCGATAACAGCTCGCTTCCCTGTCACGGCGGTCACGGCCCGCTCCGCTCCGCTCCAGCTTGGCACACCCGCTTATCTCTGAGGCCTGCACGCGCGCACGCTGCACGGGTCTTGCCCCTTCCCCTTGTGCCCGGCGGGTTACATTGTGTGCGCTCTGCCCCCAGGTGACAGCGCGCTGCTCAGTTTCCGCGGGCCCCCGGAGGAGCCCGCCCCCTTGCTACTGCGTGAGGCCCAGGGCCCAGGCGCCGCCCCCGCCTCCGCCACCGCCCCCGAGCCACCCCCAAGGACGGTGTTCATGGACTACAGCCTGCTGCAGAACTACAACACGGCGCCCCGGGGCTGGGGCGGCGCCATGGACTACTACCGACCAGTCACCTTCAGCAAACCCATCGCCGCCACCGACCTATAGGCCGGGACAGGCGACAGAGGATGGCCTCGCCCCGCCTCACATCTCATGGCCGAGGTCGAGAGCGTCGTCGTTTTGTTCACTTTGTCGACATGTGGGAGCGTGGTGCAGCCCGCATGCATACAAGCAGATCGTTAGATTGAGATAAACTTTTGAACTTGATTATTTGATCCTGAAAATTTACCCGCGCACTCGAAAAAAAAGTGCGATGACAAAAGATCGAAACCAGCATTATATCAGACATTTCTCGTTTTCCCGCAGTAATCGCTTTTACTTATGTTTTATGTTTTACTGTTAAGTTCTTTTTTGTTGGTCCTATTGAAATCCGTTGTGTGATGTGAACATCATGTATCCCTCTCTCTGTGTACATATCCCAAGGACAGGGATATCGTAGTAATAACTTTCTTTTGTAATCCAGTCTCTGCTAGAATTTGATTTATTCCTCCAGAGAACAGGGCAAGAGAGCTATGTTTTATCGTATTGAATGAACTGAAAGGGGGCTGATATCGCTGCTGGCGTGCTTTTCAAGGAAGAACCACATTAAAATTCTTCTGATATTTACGCAACTACCCTCTTTCTGAACATATGATAATGCTTGCCTTTTGCTTTTGCCTATATGTTCTACTCGACCTTTGTTATGATCTAAAACAATCTTTCCTCTTTAAATGTTTCGTCATGGGAAGTTCATGTAATCCCCTTCTGAAATTGAAGCTATTTATATGTATACGCTTTTGCTACGTTGAAATGAATGAGGAGTAGCCAAATGCTTCTCTCTACTTCGATTCTAAGTTTACTCTGCTTTATTCAAATATGATTTTGGCTGTGTTGTATAAGCTAGTCATCATGGAAAACCAGCTTGAGGATTTCAAAAAATGTTAATAAAGACCAATTTTTTTGTCCTCCTACCCATCTTACACTCACTTCAATTCCTCCATCCCCATTCATCGCTTCATTGACCATCTCCGAGGGGATATTATGCGGGCTGAGGCAGCGCTACCGCGTTGACGCGGTCCCGCCTACGAGGTAGGCAACCTTTCTGACGTAACCGTTACTGCAAGCAGGAGGCGTGCGGCGTGAGGGCAAGGTGACTGTCCGTAAATAGAACTCAAGGACGTCACAAGAATGTGAGACGCAGACACACCCGTGCGAGATATAAAATTATTGTTCTGAGAGGAAGAAAACAGAAGATGAGGGAGGGAGGGAGGATGACTGGCCTCTACTGGCCACATTGTTTTCGACAAACGCGTTATTATTGATCTTTGAACTGTCCAACTTATGAGTACCGATCCAGTACTATCCACCCACGCCAGTCAGTCCCCCC